TGTGTATGCTAAATCCTCACAGGCTAGTCTAACAGTGTTTTACTATTTTTGATTGTATAGAGAGATGAAACCATTGAAAGAGGTCATGAATTATATAGGAAATTCAATTCAATTCAATTTTATTTATATAGCGTCAAATCACAACAACAGTCGCCTCACAGCACTTTTTATCTTAGAAGATGTGATCACCAAACTGGCCCTCTCAAAAAGCAAAACATCATCCACTGTAACGTGTGTCTTTTCGTTTTAGTTCATTAAGTAGTAAAAAAAAAATCTGGTGATCACATAGCACCCCGCCTCTTCAGTCTTTCAGTGTGAATCACATCAATTACACTTCCTGTTTCTAAACATAATGACCACATAGAAAGCACAGCCTTGTACTTCCAGTCACATGAAAACCTCCGTTTTTTATTTTCTCTTCCTGTTAGTTCCATTTTTTGAGGTCAAACCCTCAAAACTCTAGTTAACCCTTCTTCAGTCTCTCATACCTGCTAAAAACCGAATAGTGTCACCTTTTCATAAACAGCCTGGGTTATAATTTTGGCTCTATTTTATGGATGTGAATACATTAAAGCATTTTACACTTAAGTGCTGTGCTGTGCTCAGTGTTGATTTTCTTTTTATAATGTTCATATTTCTCATATTTGTACTTTTTATACAGGATTTGTGTTTATCTGTGTCCCTGTCTTGATGTGAAAGTCACACTGGAGTACAGCATGTAATGTAATGTTGTAGTTTTTGCACATTATCAATAGGGCTTTTCTATCCTGCGTGCTGTGTGAGATACTTCCTGGGTTCGGGGTGCAGCATTGCTGTTCTTGCCTTTTATGGTCCTCTTAGGGAAATATAGCCTGACAAAGTAGGACTATCATAATGATTTATTTTAATGCACCATATAACAAAAAAATTGTAAAGAGCCAGAATAAAACAATAGATCTTATGCAGAAATATTAGAGACAAATCGGGACTAAATTACTAATAAAGATTATATAAAGACTGTTCCCACATCTTTTTTTTATTCTGTATTTTTATAATTATTCTAGACCAGGGGTCAGCAACTTTGAACACCCACAGAGTCATTGGATCTGGTTTCCACAGAAAAGAAAACACCGGGAGCCGCAAATACTGTGTTGACATCTAACATGAAGATAACACTCTATACATTGTTTTTTTTTTTACCTTTATGCTTTGTATAAACAACTATAGTGTGTTGCTTGTTAAATCCATGAAGTGCTATAGAGAAAATTAAATTTTATTTATGTAAGGAATACATTTCGAACTCTTAAAAAATTATAACAAAAAAGAAAGACACCCAGTCTAAGGTCTCTTTTCAGTGAATTAAAAAGCTGAACTATCACATCACAGCAAGGTAGACCAGTGTGTTTTGTTGAACGGACCTAGAAGCAGAGTTTGAAGAGGGTTAGCAGGTTTTAACAAAAAGCAATCTTTTATTTGGATGATGGCACGTGAAAAACATGGAACCTAGAAAAACTAAGAAAACTAGGAAACAGTTTGACTGTGACTATAGTGGAGATAACAGACGACCTGACAAAGACATACAGAGGACATAAATGCACACAGGAGGTGGTCACGGTAAGTGAGGACACATGGGGAAACGGCTGACTGACTAATGACAGGACAGGGGAAGTGAAACTACATACAATGAACAAAGAAGTAGCCTTGATCTGAATTTTAATTTTTTTTTTTTAAAAAAGCACTATGCTACTAAAAAAATTATTCTGCACCTGAACCTCTGCAAACAGCACCTGCAAATCGGGGCTGTACAAAGTCACTTTCATCTTTACGGAGGACTGTAAGCTCTCGTCTGTGAGGCGTGAGCGGTGTTTGTTTTTAACATAGTTCATGGTGGAGAACAGCTGCTCACGTACAACGTCACATACGTATCTGGATCCGAAGATCAGCAATCCACATATTAGGCATACTGGTAGGCTGCCCTCCTCAGAAGTAAATGCAAATGAATCTGCCCAGGCATCATTAAATGTTCTATTTTCTTCTGATAGTTTTCTTTTTTCACATTTCTCCATACTTGGCCTACCTGGTGTTGAAAGTCTCGATAAATGCATGGCGGGTATACCGGCTTCCACAAGTGTGACGCTTATTTTGAGTGACAAAAAATAATAAAATATAATTTTACTTTTATATTTCAAGATCGCAATAATCTTCCAATTTAGAATTACAATTTTTAAAAGAACTAACACAAATAAAATACACTTCAGTTAAATACTTGTATAAGGACTAAAGAGCTGCATGCGGCTCTGGAACCGCAGGCTGCCGACCCCTGTTCTAGACTGTATGCTCCCAGGTCCCTCTTTGACTTTCCTTGTTGCTTTGTTGCCCAGCATTACCACTCTTACTTGCTATTTTGCTGGTGTAAAGTGTTAATTAATCGGGGTGTTATTTTCGCAGATGACCTCAATAAAGATAGATTTATTACACCTCAAACCACTTTTATTTAGTTGTTTTTTCTTCTTCAGAAAGATCAGAAGTGTCCTAAATTAAATCTGAATCTTTCATTACTCAATACTGGCTTTAATAAATACCCAGTATCACAAGAAAATAAAAGCGCATTTACTCACGTGTCACAGTTGCAGTCTAAATTCAATACTCGTATGAGCTGATGGTAAAAGGAGCTTTGTGTTCTTCCACTTCATACTTCTCGGCTGTTACACAGCTTTCAGGTTTACATGTTGCAGAATGTGGCGTGGTGGAATAATTGAGTAAATCTCTTACTTGTGTGAGATGTGGATCACACCCATGTGAGAGTGGAGATTCTTCTCTAGTCCAGCTGGCAGCTATTTGGGGTTGAGTAAAGGGAGTAGTTGACTGGTGATGATTTGAGCCCTTCTCTATAAAGGGGAGAGAAAACAGGTTATGGGGGAAAGGGGGGAGAGACACATGAGGTTGAGGAGTGGAGGTTTGGAGATCTGTGTGCTTTCAACATGTACGGTGTGGTTGTTGGAGTTAGTGTGTGTTTGGATTTCAGGAGTACCTTAGTGGATTTAGTGAATGAGATTAGCAGGAGAGTCGGTCGAAGGCCTGTACAGGTCTGCAAGTTGGAGAAATCAAATGTGCTAAGATACTCAGAAATGGAAATCTACTGATTGGTTGTAACATAGAAGTGCAGGTGGAAAAAGCAAGGAAACTTTTGGGTGTGTGCAAAGTTAAAGTGAAAAATACTATAAGAGTAGGGGAAAGGCGAACTAATGGAAGTAAAGGAGCAAGGAGTGCCGTTAAATGTCAATATGAAAAAAAGAAAGTGACATTTGTAGAGGTATGTAAAATGGTTGAGCAAGAGAGACAGATTAGGAAACCCAGGTTAGAAAGAGTAATGGGAATGGGTGAAAGGAAACTAGAGGAAGAGAAGAAGATGAAGGTGACATTCATTGTGAAAGTAATACATGGAACATCAGATGTGAAGTCCAAGACTGAGAGGATTCATGTCATAGTTTAGATATGAAGAACATCATTTGGGAGGACATGAGGGGTGAACTAAGTAGTTATGCAAGTCAAGAGGGATAATGTGGTGGTTAATTTTTATAACCATATTAATCCTACAGTGGAATGCAAATTTTCTGTCAAATGGTCAAGATTTTAAACAGTCTATATATGATCAGAAAGAAAAACCTGACTGAGGTCTCCTTTCAAGACTCTCTAGCTCCCCCTGGAGCCTCTGCTTATACTGTTTCTCCAGATTGAACTGAAGAACAAGCTCTACTTAAAACACCTCCGGGTGCCCAGGTCAAGCCAGACGCAGCTCCCCAAACCCTGACTCGCTTTAAGCCTTTGTCTCCAGAATCCCAGACATCTAGTAGCTACATTTCTGTTAAATTCTCTGGTCCTTATGTTGTAGAGAAAAAGCTCAGCAAGACCAACATTATTCAGACCCCGGATCGTAGACGTCCTACTCGGTTGTGTCAAGTCAACATGATGAAGTTGTATAACTCTCGTAAACCTTCAACTGTGCCACAGTGTGGGAAGCATCTGAAATGTCAATTCAATTCAATTCAATTCAGTTTTATTTATATAGCCCCATAACAACCGTCGCCTCAAGGCACTTTATAATGTAAGGTGGACCCTACAATAACACATTTAGAGAAAAAAAACCCAACAATCATATGACCCCCTATGAGCAGCACTTTGGCGAGAGTGGGAAGGGAAAACTCCCTTTTAACAGGAAGAAACCTCCGGCAGAACCAGGCTCAGGGAGGGGCGGGGCCATCTGCTGCGACCGGTTGGGGTGAGAGAAAGAAGACAGGATGAAAGACAT